TATATATATCCATCATCATTCTCATGCATTCACTAGCATTATCATGCCGTGGAAAGGAAGCTTATAATCATTTCATTTAACAACTCAACTATATATATTACCAAGGAATCAAATGCAAGGAGTATAACACATCACATCATAGCTAGCTCATCCACCTCATGGCATAAAAGCATAAAACAACAAACAAATAAGGCAAGTTAACATTAAAGTTGTACGTTCATGCTATGTCTTACTAAGCTTTGATCCTTGCCTCTTTCTTCTTGTTCTTGGAGCTCTTTTGCAATTGAATAATGGCTACCAATCATACAATAGGGGCATTCTAAGTGTGAACTCATATGGCCTATATATAAACCCTTCCAAATTCCCTTAACCCTTTCTCTAATTTTTAGGGTTTTTGTGTTATCTTTTCTCATAATAATTTCTATATACTTTTTCTACATGATTTTACATGTAGAATCCATATTTGAACGTGAATTTATCAAAATTAAACTCCTTTATACCCAATTGAGTTTGGCCAAGAGATATGGATCTTTAGATTCAAAATTTCAATTTCAATTCCAATGCTTTCAATTACTTTCCTTTAACATTTTCCCACATAATTTTATCATCTAAACTCATTGGAAGCATCAAATTGATATGAATCAACCTTTAATCCTAAGTTCTCTTCTCAATTGAAACATAAGCTTATGGGTGACAAGTTGTAATTTCTATAAATCAAGTTGCAATACAAGTTTCCAACCTTTTTCTATTCTTTAATCCCTGAGCCAACTTCAAATCATTCATATCACGATTTACACCATGGTTTCTTAGGATTTTTAGCCACCATACTCTATCAAAATTAAATCCAAATCAAGCACTAATTATGGTAACTAAACCCTTAAGAGAATCCTTAACTTGCCTTGTGAGTTGTCTTGATCTTGACTTCATTCTTTCCCTCTTCCTTCTCTTTCTTTTCTCTCTTTTTCAATGGCAAAACCTTCTCCCCAAGTCTCTTATGTTGGCTGAATTTGGTGCTCTTGAAGCGAGTATTTACAAACAAAATTTTGGCTTTGGTTTCCCATTTTGCCTCTTGTGAAATATTACAATTCCTATGGCCACATATCCTCTTTATCAAGCTTTTCATTCCATGATCACGCCAAGTATCTTGGCTTGTTCAAGAAGTCAAGTAAATATCTTCTCTGTTTATTTCATTCCAATTATACATTTTAGCGAAAGTTTTCTTTTTCAATTTTGCCATTGACAAATTGTATAATTTTAGCCTTGTCCTCTTCATCAAATTAGCATCAAAATATAGACAAAAATAAGGAAAAAATTTGTATACAATTATACCCTTAGCTATTGTTCTACCTATTTTATAATTTTACACTATATTGGGTCCTGACTTACTCAGTATCATTTGCACATGTTCTAGCACCATTTTCTTATCATAAATAACTTCATATGACATCTTATATGCATGCACATGGAGAAAAAAATATTTTTCTCTATCTCCCATTAAAAACATTAATAATTTTATTTAGGAGTAACCTTGATCACATTCTTTTTTCCTGGTCCATAACTCCTAAAATCTATCTCTTGGTGCCCGTAATCTATTGTTTCCTAGGCCAAAACTTAGCCTATAAGCTTTTCAACTTCCCTAATAGGACATAAATAGGCTTTAAATTCTGTTAAGGCCTATCTCTCGCATTTTGGCGGTAAAATCATTTTTAAAACCTCCAATAATTGCCTAAATATTATTCCCTATTTTATTTAATTATTTGAGGCCTCCTCATTTTTAAATAATTAATTTAGGCTAATAACTCATAATTAGCCAAAACCCTAGGAGTTTCACAAATTCACTCTGGGGTATTTTTGTTATTTTTAACCTCAAGTAGGCCTCAAGACATTATTTTCTATTTTTTTTAGAATTTTCTAAAACTTTTCGGCATACTTTCCATTGTTCCCCTTTCCGGCTCAGAACTTTTTGAATTTGTGATTTAGTCCCTACTTGGGTTTAGCCTCAAGAATCATCTCATTAAGGTTCTCAACATAACCTTTGGCCTTTATTAGTTTCAATTTCCTATATTAGACCCCCGAAACTTTATCATACTTTTTATTTTCCTTCTTCCTTAATCCTAGAAAACTTTTACTTTGTACTTTTAGTCCTTGAGATTCCTTTTACTCTTTAAGGGAACTTCTAAGACTCCTACCCATTAGGATTTGGTGGGCTACCCATTTTAGGCTATTTTAAGTGCTTCTAGGTCTAAAAATTCAGGATATGACATTTTCCAAATGATAGTGAAGAGTATTATTATGAAGAATATTATGCTTGTATTGTAAAAATAGTTATTGTCATGGCCATACTGGTTTTTTATTATTGGCTATAAGTATGTTGTCATTGGTATACTAGTGGTCATGACTATTTTATTTGTATTGCAAAAATTTGGTGTATTTTTGTAATGAAGAGTTGTTATTTGGCATTCATGACTTGTTATTTGGATTTAAGACTTGTTATTGACAACTAAATTGTAGAAATAATGCCAGTTTTTGCTAAAACTTAAGTTAATATAAATATCTTTACAACACTCGTTATTTCTTATACTAGACTTGTCATTAGCAATTAAATTGTGACAATGCCAATTTTTGTGGAAAAAAGAAGAAAAACTTAAGTTAATGCCAATTTTCACAATTTAGTTACCAATGACAAGTCTTTATTAGAAAATAATAACAATGTTATCACCAATGATTAAAAAATCAGTATGTGTTTGATGGTAATTGTTTTTGTAATAAAAAAAATATTCTTCTCTCTCCTTTTTAGGATATTACATATAATCAAGCTTGAATTTGAGAATTTTTCACTTTCTTGTTCAAGCATTACAAGGGTCCCAACAGATAAATACAAAACGAGGACATTGTTGTGCCTATTAACAAAATACCACTATTTTTAGATTATCACGCAATGTTATTACCATTATAGTAACAAATTTATAGTTACAACACTACCATGGAAAGTTACAATAATAGTATGTGAAATAACAAAAAAATAGTATGTGTTTGACAACAACTATTTTTTGCAATATTCAGTGACAAATGCATATTAACATGATCTGTCCACTCAGTGTTCCCTTGCAACCAAATATATTACTTCCAAAAATTTGTGTGCACAACTACCACACTTTTCAACTTATATATACAAAAAAAAAATGATTGTCCCATATCTAAATTAACCTCAAGATGGGTTAGGATTTTAGCAATGGTAGACTTTTTTGTTTTAAAATATACTCATTACAAAATGTAGTCACACATAATGAAGGCGCATCCTTCCCAACAGCATTTACAAATATCTCCGACACTCTTCCACTTTACACCTCACATTCATCTTGTCCCTACTATTCCTCATATATTTGGTTGTAAACTTCAATGCAATACTAAACTTGTACACAACTTGCCTAAAAGCATCAGTATGTGGACTATATTGCTCCACTCCTACAAAAACTCTAGTCCATTTCTTACAATTCATCTCACCACTCAATGTTTGCTGACTCTCTGAACCACTGTACATATTTCTCTAACTTAAACCACCTCCTTCATAAGTTAGGGATTTACCACTATTTTCAACACTTGGTGACTCGTATTCATTACCAAAAGTCATTGCAGCTTCATTCATTTCTTGTGGCAGTCTCAAGAAATTCTTAATCTTGTAAGCATAATAACAAGTTAGGACGCATATTTCTAAATTACAAGTTTATTTAGTGAAATAGCAAGTGTGGATATGAAAATGATACTCTAATAAGTGAAATAACAAGTATAAATATGAAAACTACAAGTCTAATAAGTGAATTTATAAGTTTGAATATGAAAATTACAAGTTTAGTTAGTCAAATAACAAGTTTGAATATAGAAATTATAAATGTAGTGTATTAAATAACAAGTCTATATATGAAAATTACAAGTAGAATATGTCAAATAACAAGTTTGTATATGAAAATTGTAAGTATAGTAAGTGAAATAATAAGTTTGGATATGTAAATTACAATTTTAGTAAATGAAATAACATGTCTGTATATAAAAATTATAAGTTTACATGGTTCAATAACAAGTCTAGATTTGGAAATTACAAATTTAGTTAGTGAAATAACAAGTTCGAATTTGAAAATTATAAGTCTAGTTAGTGAATTAGCAATAATTCATTATCATAACTTAATGCAAAAGCATAAGCACTTACATTTCTGCATCATTCATTGTTGTAGATTCTCTGTTATTCCTTTTAGTTGCTATATACAAATGACTACTATTGTCATTATATCTAAACATATTGGAAATATTCATTACCTTCTATTTTACATTTGATCAAATATCCATTATCTTCTAATTTTTCTCGCGCACCCTACCATTCCTAATATTCCTAAGCCCTCTCTGTCATAGCTAACCTCATGCAAATTAGAGGTCAACAATATAACTACCATAAAAAAAAATACCACACCTTAAACTAACAACAGCCTCCTCCAACTAATGTTTCACATCATCAACTCCAGCTGTCACTCCCTCCCAACATGTAACCCCATCACCCACAACACAGCTCTCCAAAATAAAGAAGAAAATCATTTTGTTAGGTCTCAAAAGAAAAAATAGAAGAAGAGTGTAGTTGGAAACCTTACTCATTTGATTCCTATGCTTGCAAGCTTTAAAACATCGACACTTTCCTTCTCCTTTAGTTCTCGCCATTAATTTTTTTTGTCTTTGCCTTCATGAGTTACAAAGGAGATTTTTTGTCTTTTAACCCTCATTTTATAGTTACAATTTAAGATATGACGCCTAATAAGGAATATATATATATTATGAAATTACTTATTTATTAAATAAGTAGCAGGATATTTGAGGCGTTTTATATCCTTTAAACCTCAAGTAAAGTTAACCGATCTACCCACTACTTCTTTCCCGTTCAGGTCCACGGATTATAATGCACGGTACTGTACCAGTTAAAATTAATATGAAAAACGAAGAATCCCTGTTCGAAGAGAATTGGATAGTAGAACGCTGAGAATAGGGATGCTGCGGGGGTTAGGTTTCCAGCGCACCATCTTTATGTGGCCCTCTCTCCGATCTGCTCGACCGCTCAAGTATGTGTCCTTGCTCATTTTTTCTATTTGCAGAATGGTTTCATGCTTTTATCCTCATTACCTGATTTCATAGCGTTTTCCCTCATCATTGTCCAGTATCTAAGCATGTTTCTGTTATCTATTTATCATTCAAATTTTCCCGATTCATTTTCACTTCGTACGCTAAACATTTGAACAAATGGGATTATACTTAACTTTTGGTTACAAAAGAAAAGCTTTGGGAATTTAAGCTTTGTGGCATGGAAATTTGAAATGTTTTCTTTGGTTCGTAGGAAGCAAGAATGTTGTCTTAAGTTTTATGGACTACTATGTGTGGGGCAAGATTCAAGTAATTTCATTGGAGACAGGGGTGGAGGAATCTATTATGAGCAATTAAGACCAATAAGGTTTTCTTCAAGAGAGGAAATTCACCATTGTCTTCCCGTTTTCAGAAATAACTTCGTTGCTAGTCGTAGGCTTTTCTCATAGATAGATGAGAAAAGTTGTTATGAAAATGTTCGCAAAGACACTTCTATGGAAGAAAATCTTATTTCATCTAAGGTGAATGAGGCTACTGATGAGGACTTTGAGGAGGATGAAGTGGTGGAATTGGTTTTAGAACCTGGATTTCTAGATGAGGATTTGTCCGATTCTAAGGAAGATCTAAGCGCTCTGGAGCCTTTGAAGGAAAAAGCTTCTTTAGAATTGTTGAGAACCTTGGTGGAGATTCCAACCCACTTGATCTCCAGTGCTCTTCATAACTTTTTTAAAGATGGGGGAGATTTGAGCAAAGAAGAGGCTTCTAAGATCATATCTTCTCTCCGGAAGCGTCGAATGTATGGAAGAGCATTGCAGGTGATTTTTGAATATTTCATCAATAAAGAACTTCTATTACTTTTGATATGTGGGATTATGCAATTTTATGGTCTAATTAATGACCTTGACTACCATATCTTGTGGTATCCTATATCTCCTAGGTGTTCAGCATGCTTCCTCAATTTTACAAGATGCAACACACACTCAAACACACTTGTTCTAATGTAAACAGAAGAGAATTTGGGGGGAGGGTTACAGAAAACAGAGAGGAAGAGATAGGGTAAACAAAATAGTGATGATGGAGGAGAGGAGAGGAGAGGAGAGGCAGAATGTAGGAGGGAGATTAATATGAGAAATGAAAGGTGGATAAGAGCAAAAGGAGGGGGAGTGTGAAGAACTTGAGGGGGATAGAGCTAGTTGAGTGTCATAATGAAAAATAATATCATTCATCAAATCTATCTTACATGTGCTACATGATGGTTATATATAGAAGCCACTAGTAAGGTTTCCTTCTTGCTTATGAGGAAAACATAAAAGAAATTAAAATATTAGGTTTCCTTCTTGTGAAGGAAACATCCCATTTGCTGCAGCCCATTTAATACATGTAATGATTAAATAAACCAAATTCTAATAAAATAAAAATAGAAGACACAACAATAATAATAAGCTTTATCCTACTAGGTGGGATTGACTACATGGATTATATCACTTTATTGTATTTTATCAACAACCAAATCTTTAGATAAATTGTTAATCAAAATGTCCCACTCAATAACTTCAATGAGTGTTTTCTCTGGTCTTTCTCTTTCCAAATGACTTCATATTTCTTAATCTACTCTCCTTACCAACACATCCAATAGCCTTCTTTGTATGTGTCAGAACCACTCCAAATGAATTTGTACCATTTTCTTGTCAATAAATGTCACTCCAACTTTTCCCCTTAAAAGCAAAAGATAATAAAATATAAAAGTAAGATTTCCTTCTAGATGAGGTTTCTTCAAAATATATATCATTCTTAGATTCCATCTTTATATCTTTCATTTGTTTTTGGGTAAAGGTGCAGATTTACCCCTCATCTTATTTTCATGTTCATCCAGCACTTTGATTTTTTAGTGGTGCAATTTTACCCATGACTTCTTTTTAGGGTGAGATTTTATCCCTCATGGGTAAATTGCACCCAAAGATCATGGGCAAGATTGCCTAAAAAAAACAAGAAGAAGAAGAAAAGAAAAGATTATGGATAAAATTGCACCCTAAAAAACGATCATGAATAAAATTATGCCATTAAAAACATCTGGGTGCACCTAAAAAATAAGATCAGAAGTAAATTTGCATGTTTAGTCTCTGTGTTTAAAATTTTTTCTTATTAAGAAGGGTTTAGAGACTATTGGAAAATCCCCCCCTAAAAAAAAGGCGCTAGTGTTTTAATGTACAATATTGCGTTTTCTAACGGTAGGATACTTTCACAGGATGTCATGCGAACAGATTAAGTTGTTGAAATGTAAGTTACAAAGAGGACAAAAGATTCAGCTTATCTAGTTTCCTGATGGCGCTCCACAGGAGCCAGTATACTTAGCAATCAGCACAGGATTTTCCCTAAATTCTGAGGAGATTTTTTAGGCATTGAGCTTTTTCTTATTAGATTGATATATAATTTTGAGTCTCTCATGTGATAGACAATAGTGTTTTGACAAAAGAACCTTGGAGGAAAACATGATAGAATCTAAGTTCCTAGTAGTGCCTGTTATTTGGTAACTGCATTCTTCTTTTGCCTTTGCAATATATCATTGTACCTACAAATGAAGGTATTCAGTTTGATGGTTTCCAAGGTACATTGCAAAATAACATAATTTTGGTAAAGTCTGTCTAAGGATTTCAATATCGTTAGTTTTTTTTTTTTGGCTAAACCAATATCAGCAGTTTAATAAATTGAAGAAGACGTGCTAAAAGTTGAGAAGAAAGTTAACATTGGTAATGCACTTAGGCTAGGTTTTGAGTTTGACTTCATCATCAGGCAACTGAGTTTGTAAATAAACTAGCTGATTATTTATTCCTAATTGAGCATATCATTCAGCATAGATTTTGTCAAAACTTAGCAACCTGGTCATCTAAAACTTAGTGGCCAAGTTAAATAGCGAGCTACTAAAACTAAAAGAATAAAGAAAAAGTAAAATAATTGAATTAAAACAAGGGAGATTCACAAAGTTAAAGACCATGCACATGACCCCAAACAATCAATCACCAAAAGAATTTGATGGAAAATATACAATTAGCTAAAGTAGAAACTTTCTAAACTATAACCGTGAATAATGTGAGAGCACAATGTAGATGGCAACTCCATGTATATTCATGAATCTTGATCCACTTGATTTGCAAATTTTTTTTGTTGGTTGCTTCAATAAACAGTTACGTAACCTTTCTTTTGTGGGAACCTTGTTATTCATGGACGTTTTTTCTTTTAGCCTGCCACAAATAAATGAGGGTTGAAAATAAAATCTGCATTTGCAATGCAGTGGAACCTCTTGAGTAATATGAGTCCTTCATTCATTGGATACATGACGAGAACGAATGATTTTGTTCTCACCCATTTGTTAAATTGTGTGTAGGTCGAGCTATTATGACATGTAAAATGAAGAATGGGAAAAAGGGATTTGGCAGATAGGGTTGATTCTAGAAGGGTCTGTGCTACTTTTTGAATGTGATGCAGTCTATGTTAATCTCTAATGCCTGCAGGAGTTCATAGTCTTGGTAATTGATATTTCCATGCTTCTTTTAAGTTTTTTGACCCTACTTCTGTCAGCTCTCTGCATTGTAAACATATGCTTAGACCTGATTCTGTTGTGATTTTTTTTTTCCTTTTTCAATTTTCTTTTCCCCTCCCCTTTTTTTTTTTGGTTTTGCAGTTTTCAGACCTGTTGGGCACTTTTAAGCATTTTGAACTTAGCGAATATGATTATGCTTCTCGTATTGGTTTGATTGCCAAAGTCCAAGGACTTGATGCAGCTGAAAAGTACCTGAATGAAGTTCCAGACTCTTTGCGAGGTAATTTATTGTACAAAACCCTTTTAGCTCACTGTGTCTGTGCTATCAAAACACAAAAAGCAGAGGCAGTTTTTCTGAAAATGAGGGGGCTAGGTTTGCCCATTATGATTGCAATCAAATGATCGTTCTGTATAAAATGTTTGATAGAAGTAAAATAGCTGACATCTTATCATTGATGAAGGAAGAAAATTTGAAGCCATCTCGTCTTACATACAAGATCCTTATAGCTCTAAAATGTGAGTTGAAGGACACAGTAGGGATGGAGCAAGAGATTGAGGCTATGAAGTCTTAAGGTCTGCAACTTGATATTTATGTCCTGACAATCGTTGCTGGTCACTTTATATCTAAAGGGATGAAAGATAAAGCACTAGTTATTGTGAATGAAATTGAAAGAGGGAACATAAAAAATGTAATTGTTGGAAGGATGGCGCTACTATCCCTCTATACTTCTCTTGGAATGGCTGATGATGTGAGTAGAATTTGGACTATTTGTAAATTGGACCCCACTTTGAATGAGTGCCTTGCTGCCATAGTAGCTTGGGGCAAGTTGGGCAAAGTTGAAGAGGCCGAAGCAGTTTTTGAAATGATGCTGGGAAAGTGGAAGAAACTCCCATCCAAGATTTATGCTGATCTTTTAAATGTTTATGTTCAGAATAACATGATATCTGAGGGTAAGAAGTTTCTAGATCGAATTGTGGATGTTAAAGGCTGGGTCGGCCCTCTGATTTGGGATGGACTAGTGAGGCTCTACGTGGAAGATGGGAATGTGGGGAAAGCATATTCAATTTTAACTAAGGTAGTTGAAGATAAAACTTTGGGTAGGAGGAGAGTGAGACCAATGTTCAAAACATTTTTATATGTCATGGAACACTATGCAAAGCTTGGAGATATACATAATACTGAGAAGTGGCTCTTTAGAATGAGGCAAAGTGGTTATACAGGCCGTCTCAGGCCTTATGAAATTCTGACTCAAGCATACATCAATGCCAAAACGCCTGCTTATGGGCTTAGAGAAAGAATGAAGGCAGAAAATGTATACCCAAATAAGTCGTGTTCCTTGAAGTTGGCACAAATTGAATCATTGAAGAGGGAGATGTTGCTGTTCAAGAGCTCAAGAAAGTGCCAAAAGTCCTAGCTTAGCGGATGTGTTAGACTTCTTGAAGCTGTAAGAGATGCAGAGTCCACATTTATAGATCGTGAAATGAATAGATGACTTCTTGAAAACTGTGTTGTGGATGCTGGACATGTCTTCCTCTAGGCGAGAAAATGGAAAACCACTGAAACCATGGTTTCCAAACTGAAATTGAACACGACTGATGCAGTCTTTTCCATTTGCTTGTTTAATTGTCAAAACAAAGGGGCTGATTATTTAGGATGAAAGCTTCGAAATTTCTGAGATAAGGTTGGGTATAACTGGAAAATGGGGTTGCATGTGGTTTATTGTTCTTGTATGTTCAATTGCTGCTCTGTTTCACTGGTTTTAGAGAGTAGGATATAGGTAAATAAATATATAAGCTTGGATGGTGCTTATTTTGCCTTTTATGATTATTGAGGCTGGATCTAAAAATGTATTTTGAATCGGGAAAATTTCCAGATTTGTCATAATGTGAGGCTTGGGTTTGGTTTTTACTGGTTCATGTTTATAAATACTGAATCACTATCTTAGATGTTTAAATCATATTTAAAGACTTTAAAATAAAGACTTAAAATTTTTTATTGAAGCTGGAAAAAATAATTACAAAATGGGGAAGCAGAAAGTGTAAAGCTGAATCCGATTTTTCTTTAATATTGGAATTTACTGCTCTCTGTTGTTAAATGTTGAACAAATAATGTAGATGATTAAAAGTGTGCTTGAGACCCCATAGAGGATGGTTTACTTGATAGTTTTAATGCTGGAAGAAGTCAGATAAATGACAGGAGAAAGTATACATATAGTTATGCGTGCGGTGTGAGGAGTGACTTGGGAAGTTAGAATTGGTGTGAAGTTGCTGTCATATGTGAGCATTTGGAGTGTTGGGGTTATGCTTAAAGTTTCAAGCCTAGGTTGGGATGATGCTTTTTTCTTTTTTAAAGCTAGAAATTTCAGATTTAATGAGGGGACCGAATATATGATGAAGGAGAGGCAAAAAAGCTACTTGAAAGAGTAAGATTAATTGGGAAAAAAAAGTGATGTTTGGTATTTTGAATGCTAAACAATATTCTAAGTTATCAAACTAGTTTAGAGACCATGAAACAAAGGTTTAAAACTATGTTCTTGAGCCTGAGGTTTTAGAAGCTAGGAATTGACTTGAAATTTATTGTTTGGGGTTTGCTTGAGGTTTTCAAATGGTGGATGGACATTTTAATGGGTGGATTAATGACCATGGGTATAAAAGGATGAAGATGAATTAATATGGATGGATATAGGTGTGTTTAAGGATTTATAAGTAATGGATAGATTAATAGCTATAGTGTTTAAGTGGGATTAAGTTAAATCTGGAGAAAATTTTTAGATTAAAGTATTAAATGATTTCTCATGGGATGAGATGAGAGGTGTTAAGTACTTAAAATGAGTTTTGCAAAGAAGTCATATGGTTGATATATAGTTAGATGAATTAATGAGTGCGAAATATTAAGTATTGTCATTGATAGGAGATAGTTGAATTGATTTGAAAGTAAATCAAGTGTTGGAATTGAATAAATATTTATAGGAACTCATAGGAGTTTTAGAATTTATTAAAAAAAAGTTGTTTGAGGTAAAAGAGATTAGTAATGATGTCCATTTAACTATGGAGTGTATATATGGGATTTTTTTTTTAAGTTACCACTTAATGTATGAAATAGAATGGTATCTCAAATATTTGGAGTCACAAAGTACTAGGCTATTTCAAGTGTTTAAGATTATGTAAATATATATATATATATGAGTGTTTCTTTCGGCCAATCATAGGTTTATGGTTAAAAGTTGTAGAACTTGATGCCAAAAAGTTATGTTTTACTCAAAGGAAAAATGTACATAAATAGGCATAGATCCTAGGGTTTAGTCTAGGTCAAATTAGAATCAAAATCTGCTCATAATCAATCCTAATAAAATCTAATAATAGCAGCCACTACTCTAGGAGATAATAGAGGAAGAGAATAAATTAGAATGAGACAATAGGGTTCGACCCATATTAGTAGCACTAATACTCCCCCTTAAGTTGGTGAATAGATGTCATTCTTTCCCAACTTGCTTATGAACTCTTCGAACTGAGGTCTTGCTAGTGCTTTTGTGAAAAGATATCCCACTTGCTGGTATGTGGGGACGTGAGATATCTTTATAATCTTTGCATCCTCCTTTTCCTTAATGAAGTACTTATCTATGTCCACATGTTTTGTTCTTTCATGATGAATAGGATTTCTCACCATCCTTATAGCTGACATACTGTCACACCTTAGTTTGATAGGTGTATCAGGAGCAAAGTGAAGCTTCTTTAGAACTTGAATTTTCCATAGCCCTTTGCAGACTCCGTGAGCTAGAGCTCATAATTCTGCCTTTGCACTGCTTTTAGAGACTACTGTTTGCTTGTTACTTTTCCATGTCACATAGTTTCCCTATATCATAGTACAATACCCTGAAGTAGAGTGTTTATCATGTAGAAAACCTCCATGATCAGCATCTATATATATATATATATATAATGATTTCCCTAGTATTGCTTTTTCTAAAGTAAAGGCAACGGCCAGGGGTCATTTTGAGGTAATATAGGATTCTGTAAATTGCATCCATGTGCTCTTCAAGTGGCTCATTTGTAAATCAACTTACTACGCTGACTGCATAACTAATGTCTAGTCGGGTATGAGAGAGATACAACCATTTTCCCACCAATCTCTTGTACCTTTCAGCATCCACAGGCATTAGTTTCTTCTCCAATTCTTTCTTGGTATGGTTGTTAGTCTCTTCTTATTCGTCTCAGTTGTCCAGTTTTTGAGTTGGTTCCATAGGTGTCTCGATTGGTTTAGCACCTAGCATCCCTATTTCTTTTAGAAGGTTCAAAGTATATTTTCTTTGTGAGACAACTATACCTTCTTTGGACCTAGCCACTTCCATCCCTAGGAAGTATCTGAGACCCCCTAAGTTCTTCACATCAAATTCTTGTTTTAGTGACTTCTTGATGTTTGCTATTTCAGCCACATCATCACCGGTTAGGATTATGTCGTCAACATACACAATTAGGATAGCTCTTTTATCCCTTAAGTGTCTTATAAACAGTGTGTGATCAGTCTGACATTGGGTGAAGCCTGTCCTTTCTACAGCTTTGGTAAATCTTTCAAACCATGCTCAAGGAGATTGCTTGAGCTTATAGAGGAACTTATGGAGTTTACATGCCATACCCAAGTTGTTCCTTTCTGCTAACCCTTATGAATCTCCATATGCACCTCGTTTTCCAGGTCCCTATTTAGAAAAGCGTTCTTAAAATCACGTTGATGGAGCGGCCAATCCAGATTTGTAGCTAGAGACCATTGGATTCTGATGGTATTCAATTTTTTCACTGGTGTAAATATTTCTTGATAATCAATGCCATAGGTTTGAGAGTATCCCTTTGCCACCAACTTGGCCTTATACTTGTTGATTGAACCATCAGGGTTGTATTTTTTAGTAAACACCCACTTACATCCCACAGTTTTCTTTCCACTTAGTAATTGGCTAATCACCCAGCTTTTGTTCTTATGCAGGGCTGAAAGCTCTTCTTTAATTGCCTTTTTCCAGTTGGGATCTAGGATTGCTTCTTTAAAATTATTAGGCAGAATCTCTTTATCTAATGTGGTAACAAAATTCTGCATAAAGGATGAAAGTTTCTCATAGGTTACAAAATTACTTATGGGATGTGGAGTGCATTTTCTTACCCCTTTTCTCAAAGCAATGGGCCAGCCAAGATCCTCAGGATTTGTATCACTTGCTCTCCTGCTTCTTCCATGTCTCGATCAGATCCTGTAGTGGTAGGATTCTGTTATGCATTGTCCAGTATGGTCTCTAACTCATTGTTTTGGTATGGTTTAGGTGTAGGATTAGGGATATCAGTGTCTGTAGTAGTCAGGTCGGGTTCTGTCTGAGGATCAGTTGCTTCTATTTGAGGATCTGGAATAGGAGTGGTAGAAGTTTGTGGTTGGTCAGTGGCCATTTATGGCTGTGTAGAAGGTTTTGGAAGATCTAAAAGTCCTAAAAACTCCTGTTCTTGCACACTCTACCCCTGAATGGGTGTTTTGGAATAATAGCTTTGATTTTCTGCAAAGGAGACATTCAGGGTAGCAGAGAATTTATATAAGGTAGGAGGATAACATTTGTAGCCTTTGGTTTTGCTTGAGTAACGTAAAAATATGCATTTGTGGGCTCTTGAATCTAGTTTTCCCCATGTATCATTGTGTATATAGGCAACACAACCAAATATTTTTTTCTAGAAGGTGAGTTGTCAGATGTGAGGTCAAGTAAGTTTCTCTTAATATTTGGATTGGAGTTTTGAGGTTTAAAGGTTTGGATGGTAGCCTATTAATTAGGTAGGTTGCGGTTACGACAGCTTCTCCCCAATAAAATTTGGGAACATTATGTGTAAGCATGAGGGCTCTTGTGACTTCTAGTGAGTGTCGATTCATTCTCTCTGCAGTACCATTCTGTTGAGGAGTGTTTACACAGTTGGTTTGATGTAAAATGTTGTGTTTCTTAAGGTAGTCTTGAAACTAGTTATTGGTGTATTAGGTTCTATTGTCACTTCGTAGGATTTTTATGGAAGTTTTGAATTAATTTTGTATCATTCTATGTCAGTCTTGGAAAATCTCTGTCAAATTTGATTTTTCCTTTAAGAGACCTACCCAAGCCACTTGTGTGTGATTGTCAATAAATGTGACAAACCATTTTGTGTGTTAGGTTCGGAACTCGTGATGGTGCCCATAGGTCACTATGAACAAGAGCAAAAGGATGAGATGTGATATGTGAATGTAAGGGATAGGAACTCTTGGTGTTTTTGGTTAATTGATAGATTTCACATGAAATTGAAGAAATTTTATTCATTGAATTAGGAAACAACTTTAACATGTACTTAGCACTAGGATGACCTAGTCTATAGTGCCATAACAACAATTCTTTATTTGAAATAGAGGCTGAACAAATCTTTTCACTTGCATGGTATGCCTTCTGAGTAGACTTGCTCCGATGAAGGTTATCTTCCACATAATATAGCCCCTCTAATACTTCATCTTTGCCAATCACCTTCCCTTGCCCCAAGTCCTGAAATAAACATTGAGAAACAAAGAAATCAACATGATAATGCTGTGTTAGGGTGGCCTTACTCACAATATAAGACTGCACTTCAAATTAGGTGCATATAACACTTTTTATAGTTTAAATTCCTCAAACAGAAAGGTTTCACCAATACCACGAACTCTTACAAATTTACCATCTGCAACTTTAATAAACATTAGAATAGGGCAGGGCTTTAAATTCTGAATTAAGTTTATATTTTCAGTCATGTGATTAGTGGTGTCAGAGTCAACAATCCACATTTCTTTATGATGAACATTACTATTTAATGCTATGATTGCGTTACCTGTATATGCAACATTACTAATGGTCACGAGTACTTCTTGTGTGTTATCCAACAACTTCCTTAGAAACTCAACATCCTCCTTACTCAGCTTTTCATCAAATTCTGTTTTGGAGTTTTTAGATGTTGTATGAGCCTTGCTTTTTGGTTTGCCTCTACTTATGCCATTGGTTGGTTTTCCATGTAACTTCCAACAAACATCCTTGGTGTGGCCTGATTTTTGACAATGCTCACACCAACGACCATTATTCTTTCCTTTTGTATCACTAGATTGTCCTCCTCTTAAGAAAAGAGCACTACAATAAGTATTGTCGGTATTAGGTAGTTTAAGAGAGGAAAGTTTCTGTCGACTTTCCTCTTGTTTGATGATGAAGAATACCTCTCTTAAGTGTGGCAAGTTTTCTTGACTCATAATACGTCCCCGTGCTGCATCAAAGGTAGCGTTGAGTCCCAGTAGGAATTTGTAAATCCTACGTTCTTCTTTTATCTTGGTGTATCTCACAGCATCAGATGAGCATGACCACTCATATCCTTCATAGGAATCCAATTGTTGCCACAAAATTAGTAGATTAGTCCAATACTCAGTGATTGTGAGTGTACCTTGTTGCAGGCTATCTAGGTTTGTTTCACTTTCCAGGATAGCTGCCCTATTTTTCACTGATGCAAACATGTCTTGAGGTGTGTCCCATACCTCTTTAGTAGATTAGAATAGAGAGAAACTAGCGCTTATTTCTATAGTCATTGAGTTCACCAACCAGCATTAAACCATAGAGTTTTCAACTTCCTATTTGTTGTATTTGGCACTTAATGGCTTTGGTTGTCAAGTACCCAAATTTTCCTTTCCTAGTTACGTAGAGACGCACACTTGAGGCCCATTAAAGATAGTTGTGACCATGCAATCTGGGAATGGTAATGGCAGCGGATTGACTGGAGGCATTATTCGGCGTTTGCTGGTTCATCCCTAAATTTTCTGACGCAGATGACGTGTTGTCCGCCACAGGGAAGGAGCCACCTTCAAACCAAATCGGATAATGAGAGCTCTGATACCATGTAGAACTTGATGCCAAAAAGTTATGTTTTATTCAAAGAAAAAAGGTACATAAATAGGTACAGATCCTAGGGTTTAGTCTAGGTCAAATCAGAATCAGAATCAGATCATAATCAATCCTAATAAAATCTAATAACAATAGCCACTAATGTAAGAGACAATAGAGGAAGAGAATAAATTAGAACGAGAAAATGGGCTTCGGCCCATATTAGCAACACCAACAAAAGTAATGTGATTGTATTAATGGCTTCAAAAGTTTGAAAGAAATATGGGGATTAATAAAAGGAGGACTTAAGTTATGTGCTTAAATGTAATAGATAAAAATAATATTTTTGACCAAGATGACTAGTTACTAAGTAAAGTAGCTGGTTAGAGTTTCAAAAGAAAGCGATATTATGAATAAGAAAAGTTATCCAGGATGACCAATATTAAGTAAAGGTGGAGTTTAAAGAAAGTTATTTGGTAAATTATAATTAGATCAACTTACATAATAAGTTTTGATATTTGCATAAGCCTACTAAGGACACTACGCTAAAAGAAGGAAGCTAGGTTTGATTTGGGAGCAGGAGACTCAAGCAGTAGTTCTTTCCTACCTTATACTTGTGTATTACTGTATGTCTGTTTGAGTCATGTTACTATTTTAAAGCATGAAAACATGCAATCCTTAATTCCTTGCATGGATTATTTAGCTGTGGCCACATGTAGCTGATAGACATGGGGCAGTATCTGCTAATTATCTGCGTATTTATTTAATTAACTTGTCTATCTGTCATTGCAAATAAATACTTAGTTACATTGCTTGCAAGGTTATGTTCTACTTGGCTTGTTTTGCATGCATCACGTAATCTGCACATTTATTTGATGAAAATTACTACTACGTGGATTCTCTAGAATATCACCCTCCTTTCTATGATGTACAGTGAAGGCCAGTAGCTTGAAGGGTAAAGAGGTTGTTTAAGAAGAAGGTGAGTTGGTTGAAAAGCAGGAATCCCTATTGTACTTTGTATATACATAGTAAATTATTTTGATGGTTTAATTAGTTATACTATTATATATGTTATCAATACTAGTAGTTAGTGTTTGCTTTGTATAGATATAATCTTGTATCCTCCATATGGAGGTGTGCTCTATTGAGGGAAGGTAAGTGCCATCGATCGAGATGGCTGTTATGCTTTAATGTAACATTAATAATTAATATGAGATTTCATGGTATGAAATCATTATAGGTGACAATAGAATAAGTTGAAAGTAAAATTTAAATTTTTAGACAATAAATTCCAATATTACTTTTAAGTTCATCTCCTATATTGAAATTCTATTTTTAAATGACTTATATTATGAAATAAAAAAATATTATGTATTTTTTTTAGGCCAGAGACTTGGCATTTAGTGATTCATAGACTTTATGATGACCTTATTATTATGTAAAAAGTTAGGTGTTGTAAGGGTGATGTCTTTAATATTAGCTCTTTATGAAGATTATACAATAAAATTTTCTCATTTATTAGGCCATCGCTATAGTTACGAGAGTTGTTAATATCATTACTCGACTTATTATTAGAGTTGTTGATGGCGTTATGAGAGTTGTTAATATCATTACTCGACTTATTATTAGAGTTGTTGATGGCGTTATGAGAGTAGTTAATATCATTACATGATTTATTAACGAAGCTATTGAAATTATAAAAATACCACTCTTTAAACTTTTTAGAAAGTCTATTGTTAAATATTATACTGAACTTGTTAATAACGTTACAAAACTTATTAAATGGGTTATCGAAATTGTAAAAATGTCACTTTTTGAACTTTCCAAAAAAACCTATTATTAAATATTATACTAAACTTTTTAATAGTGTTACAAAACTTGTTCATCACATTATTAAAGTTGTAAAAATGTCATTTTTGAATTTTTTAGAAAATCTGTTGTTAATTGTTATACCAAACTTGTAATAACTTTAAAGACTTGTTAATTGCATTACTGGACTTGAAAAAAAATTTCAAAAAAATAGTTGCTAATTGTCGAAACTCCTGTAACTAGTGGCCCATCTGAACTTTGGCGATTGCTGTCGGCACAAGAGTTTTGGTGATTAGTCGGCTAGTGAGAGTGTTTGGTGTTTTTTTTTCCCAAGACAAAAAGGTCAATAAATTTGCAAATCTCAATTTGGTTACGTCTGCCTAAACTGAAAATTTGCTTATTTATGTGACCATTTGGGATTTCATTATTTAACTATCTTTTTTTTTTTTTGCCTTTTTCCCTAAAAAATAACCGTAAAATATATGATTTTTTGTAGTAGTACTTTGATTTGCTAATTTTATGTAAAGTTTTTAATTT